TGACGTCATCCCATATGTAAATAAAAAGATAAAGAAATAAAGCTTGAGCCTTTAGCATCACCAAATGCATAAATAAATAGCGCTTAGGCTAATAAATAATGCTCGAAAAACGCCAGCAGGCTCTTTGCTACATCTTCAGGCTGTGGCGCTCCTCCCCCTTTAATTTGCTGGATTTTTTTTTTTTTTTTAAAAATTGCTTGTGAACGCAAAGGTCTCACTGTGCCCCAAGTGGGTCCTTGGGCGCCGCTCCGGGTTTGAGGCCCGAGAGGAGCGTAGAGTTCCAGGAATGGGAGTGCAAGGAGGTGGTATCGCGGCTCCTGGTTTGGAGAAGGGAAGAGACCGAGGGAAGAGTTGGAAAATAACGATCTGCACTGGAAAATAACCATCTGCCCGGGTTGTGGTTTGCCTGGTAGAGCCTAGAGCCCCCTCTGCCCTCCTTGTGGGTTCCTGAGGGTTGCAATTTCTTTCAAGAGCCCTTGTCCTTCCCCCCAATAAGTGATGGGGAAATTGCACCAGACTGGTTATAAATACTGGTTATAATTGCACCTATTCCAGTTATAAGTCCTTTTACGCCTCCCAGAGGCTGAGGGATGGCCTCAAATCCCCTGTCCAGCTCGTGGCTTTGGTGGGGACTGGGACCGTTGGCTCCAAAACGGCTTCAAGCCAACTGGACAGTTTGCAGGAAGGTGGGTAGAGGTTTCCCACACTGCCCTGCAGCCAGGAGCTGGTTACTCTCCCAATTTAAAGCATTAAAAAAGCAAAACCTTTGCATTTCAATGCATGGGGAAATTTTCAGTTTGGACCAAAAAAGCGGGTAGACAAGGAGGGAAAAGAGAGGGATCAAACACACAGTCAAGCCAAGTGGTTTGCGTTGTGCGTGCGGGTAGTGTCCTTCGGAGGAAGGTTTTGCATGAAGCTTTAGCTGGGCTCAGGAGAGAGTGCGGCGAGGGCGAGAGCACTGCTGGTGTCCCCTGCCTAAAACGGCCAAGAAGGCTGGTGTGTTTAACCGCCCCGAGTCCTGCGCTCTCTGGAGGAAGGGAAAATAAGGTTGGAGAGGTTCGTCCCTTTTTCAGCCCACCTCTCTCCGGAAAAGGTAAGGGAGGATGGAGGGCCGGAGGTGG